GCCGGTCGTACTCGCTTTCTGTTTTCCTTTGGCGCTGTTTTTACAGCTAAGGTGGGGAACAGGCCTGGGGGCGGGGGGAGAGGGTAAAACGATCCTGATTTTCTCCACGTCTTCTCACTTCCGTGCTGCCTTCTGTTCTTCGGTACTGATTTCCCATCGTGTGCTGGGAGTTCTTTTGTCTTCAGAAAGCTGGATAAAGAGCTGCCTGCTTCTTACGCTATAGGCAGTGAGGGATAACGCAGTAATTCCACAGAATTCCCCAGCCTTGCCCTGCAGATGCCCACAGGATTAGCAGTTCAAAAGGTTACCTTTCTGGGTGGTGGGCACCATACGGTGCTCAGAAGAATACTTGTCATCCTGTTTCTTGTGCAGATAGAGGATCTCGTTCCATCGCAGCCTGCTGCTGCCACGCAGTCCTCATGAGTTCTCCGCTCTCTTTTCAGGTATGGCCTCACAGCTGCAGGTGTTCTCCCCTCCGTCAGTATCCTCGAGTGCCTTCTGCAGTGCCAAGAAACTCAAAGTGGAGCCCTCTGTCTGGGATGTTTCAGGACAGAGCAGTAGTGACAAGTATTATACCCACAGTAAAAACCTCCCAGCAGCTCAAGGGCAAGCAAGCTCCTCTCATCAGGTAGCAAATTTCAGCATCCCTGCTTACGACCAGAACCTCCTTCTCCCGGCTCCTTCAGTTGAGCACATCGTGGTGACTGCGGCCGACAGCACAGGCAGCAGCACAGCGGCCTCCTTCCAGAGCAGCCAGACCCTCCCACATCGGAGCAACGTTTCTTTACTGGAGCCCTACCAAAAATGTGGATTAAAAAGGAAAAGTGAGGAGGTCGATAGCAACGGCAGTGTGCAGATAATCGAGGAACATCCACCTCTCATGCTGCAAAACAGACCTGCGGTGGGTGCTGCGGCCACGACCACCACGGTAACCACGAAGAGCAGCAGTTCCAGTGGTGAAGGCGATTACCAGCTGGTCCAGCACGAGATCCTGTGCTCTATGACAAACAGCTATGAGGTCTTGGAATTCCTGGGCCGAGGGACGTTTGGGCAGGTGGCGAAATGCTGGAAACGTAGCACGAAGGAGATTGTAGCCATCAAAATCCTAAAGAACCATCCCTCCTATGCTAGGCAGGGCCAGATAGAGGTGAGCATCCTCTCTCGCCTGAGCAGTGAGAATGCTGATGAGTATAACTTTGTTCGCTCCTACGAGTGCTTTCAACACAAGAATCATACATGCCTTGTTTTTGAAATGCTAGAGCAGAACTTATATGATTTCTTAAAGCAAAATAAGTTCAGTCCGTTGCCCCTGAAGTACATCCGGCCAATCCTGCAGCAAGTGGCTACTGCCTTGATGAAGCTAAAGAGCTTGGGTCTGATACATGCTGATTTGAAACCAGAAAACATCATGCTGGTGGATCCGGCACGCCAGCCCTACCGGGTGAAGGTGATAGACTTCGGCTCCGCCAGCCACGTGTCCAAGGCCGTGTGCTCCACCTACCTGCAGTCGCGCTACTACAGGTGAGTCCCCACCGCGCCGCCTCGGAGCCGCTCTGCGCTGCAGAGCCTCTGCCTTAGCTGTGGTCTTCGTGGAGGGAGAGGAGGAGGTGATCAGCCTGCCCGCTCCTCTCCATGTTCCCGGGAGATTTCCTCTGAAGTTTGTATGGAAGTAAATAGAACTTCTGCTTTACCGTGCCTTCCTTTTACCCAGGACTAGTGCAGTCAGAGGGTTTTACCCTGCTGCTGGGTTGTGACAGCGTGTGAGGTAGCAAACCAGGGAAGCCGATGTGCTGTTGGTAGGTAGTGCATTTTGGATTGTTTGCCCTGACCTGAAACAAGCCCACAAACCACGGTCCTTTAGAAGAGAGAGAAGTAAAAGGGATGCCAGTGTCTTTTTATCCTGTTTATTCTCTTCCATCTTTGAACCCGCTTCACGAGCACATGACTTCGTCAGCCCTTGGTAAGTCACACTTCCATGAGACCTGTAACACTCTTAAAACCAGGATGAGCTAGACCTCTGCAAAATGTAGAAATGGCTTCTACCCTAATCCTGTCAAAGAATTAAAAATAAACTATGGGCAAAATCTTAAAACTCAGAACTAGTGTAGCTAAAGCAAACTGTGCTTTCTCAATTATTCCTCCAGCTTTGTTCTGTTAGTAGTGTGTATTTCAATATGAGTAGCAGTAGATTTCAGTAAATGGATGCAGAAAGAACCTCTGGCATCAAAGGGACTTAAAAACGTGCATGCTGTGTTGTCAGGGTTGTTTTCAGTGGAATATGAGCTCCCTTGATGCAAAACTTAAACTAGTATCTAGTCCTTCCAGCTTGGACGGGACAGAGGACAGAGGGCTGAAGACACTCCACCCCGCCCTGTGTCTCTGCCTGTTTGATGTCTTTCCTGTCCTCCTAGCCTCAGTTTAAAGTCCTGTCTTGTTGTAGGCATGTTCTGCTCATTCTTCATGCTCCTCTATCCTCATCCCCCCTTGCTGTTTTTTGGTTTTGTGGGTTTTTTAACTCCCCCTAACACTACAAGCTTTCTGTGCCATTTCTTTCATGTGATGCAAACTATTCTTAAGCCATTCCTCACGATCCTCACTCAGCTTGTTGGCAGCAGTCTTTCCAGTTCTGAACTATGGATTGCTCTTTTTTGTAATGCAGTTGTCTTCTGTGTGCTGTAGGTCTGTTGAAATGCTTTCTCTGCCTAACATACACTATCAGTCTCGTTGCTCTTGCAGTGAGAGGTGAGCGCTGACGGGAGTCTGCTCTATCTGACCCGCAGCATGCGCGGGCAGAGCCGGCTGGGGAGGCACGGAGAGCTTCCAGTTTCTGATATCGCAGACAGCCGGTTGGGTTGAGGCAGAAGCAGCAGGAGATAAGTATCTTAGAGGGGCTGCTGGGAAGGAAGCTGCCTGCCTGCTTCATCTTCATGTGCAGCACTGAGCTCCAGGCCGCTTCCGGCACCCCGACGCAGGGTGACTGACGCTGCCAGAGGGACAAATAACCTGAGATTAGATGGTGTTTAAGACTGTCTGCCTGACTGAAGTTAAGAATGCTGTGATGTGGAAATCTAATATTTAGAGATATGTAATTATCTTGATGGTGATGATTACTAAAATCCATAACCTAGGAATTGATGGAGATGATGTAGAAAGTAGTTCAGTGTGGGAGAACTGGATTGCTTTAACCATATTCACATTATGGTAGTGTTCAGATGAGTTCTAAGCTGGAAATTTTTTCAATGCTGTGTTTGATAAAACAGTATAGACAAGTTCTTCATTTGGCTCTCTGTCAACTATTAAAAATAAACCTTACGTTCTGTGTTCACTTCCTTATTTTTAATACCTGTTACTGACACTTATATAACCTGTGTCTCCTATTGGGACATCTAAACCAGACAGATTCAGGTACTATAAGGTGAATTTTCTGATCTATTATACCCTGAAGGAAAAAAACCCAAAACTTTCCTTCCTTAATTTTTTTTAGTGGTGCTGGAGGTCATCTTTTCCAAGAGCTCTGCTCACCCTGGGTTCTGATCATGCTTTTGGCAGCTGGACAGTGACACTGTTGGCACCATGCTTCAGCTGGGATGTCGTGTGGGGCTTGTCGGGCTGAGCACGTTGAGGCTGGGTGGGGCAGGTTCCCTCTCCACACAGGCATTACTGCTGCCTCTGCAGTGTAACTCCAGTCAGGAAGGGCAGCTTCACTGCTGTGACATCTTGGGCTTCCATTGTGAGTAGAAATGCCCACAAAGAATTCTTTGGCTCTGTAGCCAGGCATGGACTAGGAGTGAACTAACTGGCAGTCATGCTTCCATGCAGTGACTAGTTTCTCTGACTAGTTTTCTCTCATAGTCCTGAGATCTACAAGCAGTAGTACCTGACCTGAAAAACAGAGTATATGCTTGTGGCATCAGATGGGAGAGTATGGACACTTTTGTCTTCCCTGGGGAGGATAAGCAGCAGATGGAAGCAGACAGCTTGAAGAAGTTAAAAGTTCCTGGGAAGACTGATCTCCCTGCTGTTGAGGAGTGAGGCTGAGTCGTGTCCTGTGTAAGTGCAGTCATCATGTGAGTCTCACTTGGATCTCTACCTCCCCATGGTTCCTGGAGATGGTTCAGGGTAGAGGCACGTAGCAAACTGAGGATACTAAGCTGAAGGACTGAACAATTTGGGCTGTGAGAAGGTGGCATAGAGTGCTGAGGGAGCTTGGAGAGTGCAGTAATATCTGTTTCTTACCTCTGCTTTGGGCTACGTGACCTACTTCTGTCCTAGTCATGTTGGCCTGGGAAGCAGCAGTGCATGCTGCCAGTTCCAACTCTGCCTGATAATCCAGCTCTGAGTTGTGATCATGTAATTCTGTGCACTGCTCTGTGCAGTTGTATAAGCTTCATATTAGCATCATTCTTCACAAGGAGGAGGGCAGAACACCCATGTGTAAACATGGTGTGTTTTGAAATGTTAAACCTAAGTCTCAGATTTTTCCGCTACTGCTGTGAATCCTCTCTCTACTGAGAGGGCCTGAGCACTTTGCCAGCTTTGGAAGTCAGTTTGGCAAGCGTGTGTGCAGAGAAAGAATGTTGTCGATATCTGTTTCAAAGAGTTTAAGATCATAAAATTACTTTAATCTCTGAGAGACCAGCTATGAAAGTGACCTCTGCCTGTTGTCCTGTTTCAACCCGTGTCTTGTATGGCCGCTGACTGTAGTGGTGTGAAAAGAGGTGAGAGATTCCAATTTACCCATTCTGTCCTGCAATCAAAATTAAACCAGGTATCTTGCAGGAATTTCATTTATTTAGTTGCAGAGAATAAAATGCAAAGAGTTCAACTTGCTGTCATTTTGGTAGTGAGGCTTCAGAATACTGAAGTCTATTCCAGTGTCTGGTTAAAGACTAACAATCACACCCAGCCTTTTTTTGCTGCTAATCTTTTTCTGTTGGAGTCAGTGGGATGGTTTTTAATGTGCCTGTGAAGGGTTAGCACGCTTTGCTTACGACACGAGTCACTTATATTTTAGTGTTTGCCAGTCCAAGCCAAGGAAACTTAAACACACAGCATTTCTTGTATGACAAGTTTGGGTCCTGTCTGAGTTTTTGAGTTCCTGCATCAGCGGGTTCACCAAGAGGGTCAGTCCAGTTGGATGCACATGGGGTTCTGAAAATCCTGTGGGAATGACTCGTACTCTCTCTGCTTCTGAAGTGGATTCCTCTTCTTTGCTCCTGTTAGCCTGCAGAAAGTTGGATCTGTTCTAGCATAGTTCTTTAAAATATAAATGTTTAGCAGGACATTCAGCATTCAAATATCAGATACTTGGCATATTTGCATAATCATTTTATATTTTCATATATGGAAGACCATTCCAAAGTCAACTACTGCCAGACAAGAAGGTAGAAACAGATGAGTGTCAAGTAGAGCGAGTATCAGAATGTCTTAGCTTAAATAATCTGTTAGTAATCACTAAACATCTATCATGGCTTTGCTTTTGGGGGGTTCAGACATAATAGAAGAACCTCCTTGCTTTAAAGCTGAACAATAGAGAATAGATCTGACCTCACTGCAGCCAAGGGCTGGTTCAGCTATCTCTCTTTTTCGTTAGAGCCTGTGCTTTCTCAGGGGCACTGTGTCTGGGCAGCTGGGATGAGTGCGTTTGTTTTGAAGACTGGCTCATGGAATTGTGTAGTCACCTAAAAGAGCAGCTGTATCTGTGTCACCACAACACAGAGGGTGATTAATTGGAGAGTCACTTCTTGCCATGTACAAACAGTTGGGAGGTACCTTTGGGCTGAACAGTTGAGGAAGGTGAGGGTCAGATCTATTGATACCTGTACATTATGCAAGCCCTGTTTTTTAGAATTCCATAGAAAGATAAAACTGGTTCCAGAGCCTTTTTAGCAACAAATATCCACATTGTAACACAGGAAATGTCGCACAAGCCCTGAGAGTCACAACCAGAGAATAGATAGCCTGAAGTTTAAGACTCTTCTGCCTCCCTTTATTCCTGTGTTAGTTATACATGAAGATCATCGAGGTTTTCGTGTTTCCTGTACTTTCCAGAGTAAATTCCCACACCAAGTCCCGTGGGTTTTGCAGCACTCGGGGTTTATGCTGTATGCAAATGTATGACCAGAATTTAGCCTGACAGAATGGCATCGGTTTGTTTCAGAACTGTGTGTAGGTGAAGAGTTTTACTAAAACATCCCTTTGTGTTATGAGTCAGTGTCAGACAGAAATCTCCCTGAAATTCCAACCTGTTGCAGAAGCAAACTCTGCTTGGAGTTTGATTTGTTTTCACCACCTTCTTGTAAAGGCTAGGCCAGACAGGTAAATTTTGCATTAGGTGTGGTTCAGTGCACAGAAACCTGTAGCACAACCTTGCAAAGCAGTCACAATTTCCAGCTGTTTCTCTCCATCCATTTTAAACTTGGAACACTCCAGATAAGCCTGTATGAGAACTCACTGGTAGAAACCAAGCAGCTCTCTGAAGAGCTCCTTTTCCTGGCTCTGCAGGTGTTCTTTTCCACATGAAAACGGGCAGCCTTCTCCAGCTGGTCATCTGGGACCTTGACACCTTCTGAGAAAAGTCTGAGCATCATTTGCCAGAACTTTCTTCCCAGTTCTGCTATGATAGGTTGTGTGCCGTCTCAGGAAGGCCTCATGCCATAGACACACTGTCAGGTGTAATTACACTGGTTACTGAAGGAGTGACTTCGTATCACAGTTGCACTTAAGGCCACTTAGGAGTTGGGGGGCATCATGACAATGGAATGAACCCACCTGTGCTACTAAATGGTAAAAGGGTTGGGATCTGTTAAGGCCACTTGAGGAAACATCTGCTTTAAGAATCATTTAGTTTCACACAGATTTATTTGCTTGTGCTTGGAGGAGAGAAAGGGGCCATTCAGAACCATTAGTTGGAAAGGTCTGCACACTTTCAGAGTCTAAGATTTTTACCTTTAATTTTTTTCCTTTGTAACAGAGCTCCTGAAATCATACTGGGTTTACCATTCTGTGAAGCTATTGACATGTGGTCGCTGGGCTGCGTGATAGCAGAGCTGTTTCTAGGCTGGCCTCTGTATCCAGGAGCATCTGAATATGATCAGGTGAGAGTGTGTGGTGGACGTGGGCCTGTTCAGATGAAACCACAGTGGGCTGTGTTCGGACCTTCTGAACCCAGCGTATCCAGTGTCAAACTTCATCTGGTACAAATTGCTGTTGCCTGTCATCTTAAGTTCATTTTTCTCTCCATGATATTCTCATTGCCTGTCAGTCAAGATTTCTTAGTGTTTCAACTTGAGTTGAATGTAGTTATCCAGAATGTACAGTCAGTGTACAGTTAACCCCCTGGTTTCCAAACCCAACAGCTGTTGAAATACCTTCCTGTCAAAACAGAAGCGAGGTATGTGTCCTGACTCAAAACACACTCTGTAATTTCACCGTGAGGGCAGTTTGTCCGTGTGGAGACAGAGCAAGCCTATCATTCCTGCCCTGTTAATACCTACAGCAGCCCTCATTTTGCATGCAAAGTGTGAGCCCCAAGCTGAGTCTGAAGTACAGGGGCAAGAGTCTGAAAAGCCATCCTGAACTAATTAGTTCTTCCTGTGGATGCTTAGCATTATTACCTGGGCTACTCAGTTGTCTATAAAAGGACAAAAAGTCTGTGTGGGAGGGTATTTGAGGGTAACTTTTCCACTGTGGCTTTTGTGGTGATATCTTGTTACAGTGCTTGGTAGAGTTTTCCTTGTGTGATAAAATACATGAAAAGTTACTCAGTTTGAAAAGTTACTTGTGTTGTATCTTCCCAGTGCTGTAAATTTCCAAAGGAAACACAGTGGTTCCTTAATAAGCAGGATGAGTTAGAAAGTAACTGAGGTAGGGCATGGTGGTTTCCTTGCACACTGAGTTTTGTGTAATTCTGAGAACCTTATCTAGACGTGTACATGGGCAGGGAGGAGGTGCTCTTTCCATTGCTTAATAGACAGGGTTTTGCAGTCCTTTGTTAGGCAGCATGAGGTGTGACTTTGTGTGGTTGATTTTGATATCTGAATTGCCCTTGAAAACTAGGCACTAGGCTTTCATGTTTTCTGGGGTTCTGCAGCAGCAAGTGAAAGCTCGGGCAGAACCTGGGAGAGGACCTCTCCAGGAACGAGTTTGTGGGTCGGGATGGGACTTACAGTTATTTTTTAAAGACCCTTTGGCTGTAAACCGAGGGTTAACCTCTCATAAAAATAGCAGAACTCTTAGCTGAGCTATTGTGTAGAAACAAAAAAATACTCACCTGCAGATACCAGATCCACACTGGCATAAATGAAAAGTGAGTCAATAAATTCATATGGGTCACAAGCTATAACAGTGAGTTAAGTGCCCTGCAGCGTTGAGCTGTTTTGGCACGGAGTGAGAAAGATGTTCCTAAACCCTAAAATTTCTGGAGATGATATGATGTTAAAAGTTAAGTGTCCATGTAAATATTTGAGATAGTCCCTTTAATTTTGCAGTTTCAGTTATCTGGGCATTCTTTTGTTAACAGGTTATTGCCTATCTGCTGTGAACAAACCTGGCTGACAATTTCTCCACTAGCTCCCGGTTCTCTGTTTTGGGAGTCCTTATTCTTTTGATTTTTTCTCCTAGATTCGTTATATTTCACAAACTCAAGGCCTTCCAGCGGAGTATCTTCTCAGTGCGGGAACGAAAACAAGCAGGTTTTTTAACAGAGATCCAAATTTGGGATACCCACTGTGGAGGCTAAAGGTTTGTCTGTCTTTTTAATTCCTAGTTCTGTTTTGAGGACTTGATATCAATTCGGACCTAATTTTAGTGTGCTGTGAAAACCTTCTGAGTGAAGATTTGGTTTGAAATGTCATTCAAATACAGCTGACTCATTTATTTTCTTTCAGAAACTATACAGACCTCCTGGTACTCACCTAGCAATAGCAGCTATGCATGATAGTACTAGCAAAGTGTGGGTGTTAGAGTAATTGAGATAATGGTTACTTATTAGGGCCTGCTCACTCTTGGTGAAAGATGTCATCTTGCCATCTCCTGACAATACAAAGAGTAAAATAAGGAATATTTCATGATGGTCCTTGTTAGTTAAACAGAGTTCTATTTATGTGTTGGAGAAGACAAGAAAAAAATCAGACGTACACTTGATTTGCCTTTAAAGCTGAGCAACAAAAGGAAGGGGATTTTGCCTTTCTTCTTTGTAAAAGAGGAATTTAAAATATTTATAGCCTCTTCTCTTTCTAAATCAGAAATGGTCAGTTCTTCTGACTAATGCAGTACCTGACAGAGCCTTGGAGGGAGGTCACCCTGTTGTTAGTTCAGCTTTGCAATGAATGATCTTTCTAGTTGAGGAAATGAGAACCCATGGCTGATTTGGTTTGGCCTACTGGCGTGTGATTTGTCATAAAGCAGGCAAAAGATCACCTGGCTCGGCTCCATGTTTGCTGCTTTATTAATATGCAATATCTCAGCTTACATTGTCAAATGCTTTCTTTTACAGACCCCAGAAGAACATGAGGCGGAAACAGGAATAAAATCAAAAGAAGCTCGGAAATACATATTCAACTGTTTGGATGATATGGCGCAGGTGTGTGGAGAGCTTGTAACAGAGAGAGAACTATCATTAATTATATACATTAAGCAACTGCTGCTGGAGCAGCCCTCTTCCACATGCTGTTGAGAACACTGATGTGATGGTGGCCATGGTGCAAATTAGTATTAGAATCAAAGCATTGATTATGAAGCTGTTAGAAATGTCTTGTTTTTTCTCAGGCCTTGATCTGGTAGATACAAGAAGTGTGCTTAGCCTGTTATCACTACATGTAGTTAAGCAGTAGGAAACCTGAGCCCCTCCAGAAGTGTTTTATAGAATTAGGCCCTTGTTGGACTTTGGAAATGTTGACAGGAACTACAGATTGTTCTGTTTTTTCATTCTTTTTTCAGAGGTAAAATAAATATAATGAGGCCTTAAATCTTAAATATGTTGGTCTCGATTTTTTTAATGCTTTTATAACTGTTACCATCGCTTTACAAATGTGCAGAGCACATAGAATCTCTCCGTTCTGATTTGCTAACCCCTTATAGCCCCATACAAAAAAATAAGGGCATAGTGCCAGGCAGTGCAGGATGAGGTCTGGTTGATACCTATTGAACAGATCAACTTCATGTTGAGTTGAGAATTCCGTGTGTAAATTTGACTTTCGTTTACCGAATGATCGAGGGAAAGGTTGTGTGTTAGTGCTGTAGCACTGAAAATTAGGCTGGCTAAGAGACAGAAATGCTTAATAAATATTTCTGCATGACATGAAATTACTGAATTGTTAGGTAGCAATCAATTTGATGTTTGTGTAAACTACTCTCATTTTATTTTTAAGGTGAATATGTCTACAGACTTGGAAGGGACTGACATGTTGGCAGAGAAGGCTGACCGAAGGGAATATATTGATTTGTTGAAGAAAATGTTGACAATTGATGCAGATAAAAGAATTACTCCACTGAAGACTTTGAACCATCCGTTTGTTACAATGACACATCTACTGGATTTCCCACATAGTAATCAGTAGGCTTCCTTAGATTTCTTCTTCTGTTTCAGGAGGACTTACTGGAAACACAGAATAGCATTTTGCTTTCTGTCAGTGCTGTTTTCTGCAGTTTCTGGCTGATCTGAAAATAACAATGGCATGTGTAAGGACTAGAATGTTCATAAACTTCATTTTCATGTTTTAGGACATTCTTTGTGGGTTTAAAAAACAAACAAAACCCTAAAGGCATGTGCATAAAGTTGGGAATCAGTCATGTTTTTGTTGTACTGTTTTTACATATCTGATATTTCCCTTCTGTTGTTCTGTTTCAGTGTGAAATCTTGCTTTCAGAATATGGAGATCTGCAAGCGAAGAGTTAATATGTATGATACAGTGAATCAGATTAAGAGCCCATTCACAACTCACGTTGCTCCTAATACAAGCACAAATCTGACAATGAGCTTTAGCAACCAGCTCAGTACAGTACACAATCAGGTATAGCATCTTTTAGCTGTTTTATACCACTTGAAAAAACAGAGTAGTTTAATCTTGTGCCTTCAGGCCAAATTCTGTTCTGCAAAATACTGTATTTAAATTACTCTTCAGAATTTGTAGTCTTATCTTGAAATTTAGCTTTCAAAACTCAGGCTAAGGCATTCTCATTAAATATGAATGGTAAATATTATCTTCTTTTTTATTTTTCTCTTCCCTAGGCCAGTGTATTGGCTTCCAATTCTACTGCTGCTGCTACCCTTTCCCTGGCAAACTCGGACGTCCCACTGCTAAACTATCAGTCTGCTTTGTATCCATCATCTGCAGCACCAGTTGCAGGAGTGGCACAACAGAGTGTTTCCTTGCAACCTGGAACCACACAGATCTGCACCCAGACTGACCCCTTCCAGCAAACGTTCATTGTTTGTCCCCCAGCTTTTCAAAGTAAGTGAAAAAACCCTCTGTACGATATTGTGGTTTCAATTAGGTAGAAATGAGAAGTGTGGTAATTTGCACTAAATTGAGGAAGTACAGCAGACCCCTCTGTGCCTGTCACGCAGTGCTCTTGCCTCACAGGTAAGCGCAGAATCAGGTCAGACGTGTGGAGACAGTTTGGTTTTCTTCCAGGTCATGCTTCGACAGGTGGCAGTATCTCACCTGCCTAGGTTCCAGTCTTCATCAGGTTGCTCAGCCAGTTTTTCCCCCCCAAAACAAACACAACAGCATTCCACAGAAAGCAGTGAACAGAGGAGCCAGACCTATCTGAACATAAAAAAAGTGTCATGCTGTGTTTTGTATGTCAGGAGTGAATATCTGGTCTTAGAGTCTCAGTCCACAAGAACTGATGTAGCTCTCTAGTTTGCTAGCAACAAGTGGTCACAGATGGCAAATAAACAAGGTCAGCACAAGCATAACTGTATTGATCCTGGAAGTTTTCTATTTATGCTTGTATCTGGATTGTGTTAATATGGAGGGTTATATATGGAATGGAAGCTGATAGTGTAAAATTTGAACTTAGCCTCAAGCAGCATAGAATTACACGTCTGTGTTATCTGTGTTTCTGAAAACAAGAATATGGACTTCAACAGAGCCAAGCTTTTGAGCAGTAGTTGTCCATCACTGCCCTTTGAAATACCAGGACCACAGAAGTATTTACTTCAGCTGGTGTTTTATTGGTGTACTTTTGTGAAGGGGAATGGCTTTTCTGTCTTTTCATCTGACCCTGCCTTCTGCCCTTACCTGGTTGAAATCTGAGTTTGAAAAGAAACAAACGAAAGAGTAGTAAAGCAGCTTGGCAATGGTGTATTCTTGTCCTCCACAGCCGGACTTCAGGCAACTACAAAGCATTCTGGGTTCCCAGTAAGGATGGAAAATGCTGTCCCCATCGTACCGCAGGCCCCTGCAGCACAGCCACTGCAGATCCAGTCGGGTGTTCTCACACAGGTAAAAAAACAAACCAAGCATAGTTAACTGCAGTTCCTACCACCATCCATGAGGACCTGACCCAGAACCCTCTGGTGCTGGGATGAGTGCGGGGGGTTCTCAGAGCATGCTGGAAGGTTAAATGCAGATCACTCCTAAGACAGTGTTTTCTTGTTTTGTTTTTCTGGAGTATTTAAAATCTAAACTATTTTATGTCATGTGCCTCCCTGGTTTTAAAAATCTGATTTAATGATGGGAATAAATATGTAGGTTTTGGCTACTAAGAATAGGCTGTATTTTTTCATTAGTGTACACTGCCTTATAGGTAGTGGTGTATGTTTTTGCCTACGCTTTAAAAATGTGGCAGCAAATTTTAGAAGAAATCATTTCTAAGAAGCAAGATCCCAGTCTGGCAACACAGATTACTCGTGTTAAAATTTAATCTTTAAATCAACAAAATTGTTTCTGAATTCATCTCAGTTACACTGTTAGTGTGAATTGTGTAGTGAAGACAGACCTATTTCTGTTGCTTGGAGTTTAAACAATACGTGATAGCAAAATTCACAAGTAGTTCTAAAAATTGACATTTTAAACATTAATGTGTTGTAAATGAAAACAACTTTTATTTCCAAAACATAGTGCTTTAAAATATAGCAAGTGCCTAGCAATTCAGATTTTATTCGTTGAAAAATTATGATTGCATTTGTAATTAATGCACTTTTGTTTATTTGCACAGTTTTAGTTTCTGCTAACATTAACACATACACTTTATTAGCTCTACTTTCCAGGCAATATATTGTCCTTACTGACCTACTTGTAGAGGAGTAATTTTTAGATTGTTCAGTCCAAAGAATTTTGGTGGCATTCTTTGATCTCTGTTTTGTTTAGCGTGACTGGACAGGTAACGGTATCCCAAAAGCAGAATACACTTGAAGGAGACCCATCTGAATCCAAACCCTTCTTCTCCTGAGAGTCCAAACTGTACACTAGGAATCTAGTTTTAGTTAGACTTTTGATGGACTAATACGTGTCTCGGTAGTTTCATCACAGATAACTATGCTCTTTCACAATACAAAAGACCTGCCCTGCCTTCTGTTAAATCCCTCAGTGTGTCCTTTTCCAAGAGTCCTGTGTGTGAGTCGGGAGGTACGAAGGTAAATGCTGTGTCCTGCCAGGGGGGCAGTTGTGTTACAGTTAGTGCAGTGCGTGGAGTGTAACTTGCTCTCTGGGACACAGTGAAGTATCAATAGCTGAACGCTGTCTCGTATTTACTTTTTAACTGTCATCAGAGGGAACCTGTTCCCAAATTTCCTGTTCCTTGTGTTTCCCTCAGAGACATGTAATTGCCCAGAGGAGCTTGCCCAGAGGGTCAGGGTGTTGGTTTCACTGCTTCCATTACAATTCTAGAGTCTGCTCGAGCACCGTAGAATGCCAGTGAGGTGAAGCCTTTTCTGGCCCTATTGCTGAACCCACTTATCCTGCCTCAGTACATGTGTTTCACTCACTGCCTGATCTACATTTCAGGGAAGCTGTACACCACTAATGGTAGCAACTCTTCATCCTCAAGTAGCCACCATCACGCCGCAGTATGCGGTCCCCTTTACCCTGAACTGCGCAGCCGGCCGGCCAGCGCTAGTAGAACAGACGGCTGCAGTACTGGTAATTGCCTCCCTTGATTGTGTTCACTAACTTGAGTTTTTGTTTTAACTTAGACTTGCAGAGGGCATGGAAGCATGTGCCATCTTGTGGCTGTGTTCTTGCTACATTTTAATGTCTTGTTGTTTTCCTCCCCAACATTGCTGAAGCACTGTCTGACTCTGACGTTTAGTGTGGCTCTGTAAAGAATCCAGATCCATTGACTATTACTTTTTACTAGCCTAGTACTATAAAGCTCTTCTAAGCTATACTGTAGAAGAGTTACAGTTGTTCTTGTTCTTCACTTCCTATCCTATCTTTGCCTTTTGATTGTTGAATACAAAGGAATCAGTCTTTAGCTTGACTCTGCTACAGGTACCTGGATGGCCAGAATTTGAACTGCTTGACAAGTTAGCTCCTTACTTTGTTTTCAACATGTGTAAAGCTGCTTTGCATGTAAAAATGTTTCAGGTCATTAAGCACAGACTAAAATCTCTAATGATAGCAAATTCTTTACTGTATTGCTTTAGCAGTTGATTGCTCTTAACCTCTGTTGAACCCTGACAATAATTTTCTGGCCTTTTGTTATTTATAGCAAATCACAGGTAGCTTATTCCATCCAGGTAAAGATACCATTCTTCACAGATACTTTCAGTTCATATATATTTCTTGGTTGAAATTAAACGTGGCTCTAGTATCCAAAATGGCAACAGCTAGTTTTTAGGCCATTTGGACCAATTTTTAAAAAGAATGGGGGAAGGGAATAAACACACCTTTAAGCAGCATATGTTTTCAAAATTTTCCTCTTCTGTACTCATTTGGCACCTGCATCAGGAGGACTTTGCAAGTGCCACAAAAAAAGTGGCAAGTGCCTCATTGTAAAACTCCAGAATCAGATCAGTGAAGCTTATGAAAACATTGCAGTGCACTTAAGAGCTGGTATCCTCACATGTCTTCAAAGCACATTCCATTATGTGAACCATGTTGTTTCTTGTGGCTTTAAAGTGGTAGTTTGAGTGTTGTTTTCTTCCAAGAGGGAGACCTCTACTCAAGTGGAATTTGCGCGAGTCATACCCTGAAATTAAAACCCACTCATTTGAGTTCTTCTGAACCAAGGTGACTTCTCCCTTTTTCTGAGGGTGGGAAGGAAGGAGAGTGGGGTTCTCCTGGGTCACCGGCTCTGAGCTGAACAGACCCAAGGATGGATTTCCTTTCCTCCTCTTGAATTTTGATTGCTGAAAAACTGCAATCTAGGCTCTGAAAATGGTAAGGGGTGACTGTAGCAGAGCTTGGGACACAAGTGAGTTGTTAGTGATGTTTTCAAAAGTGTATTTGGGCTTTCGATTCAACAGGCAAATTCTGTTCTCCTGTGCGTGTTTGGTGGACTTGGTGTTCAGCTCCCCTGTTAGAGCAGTACAGGAGACCAGAGCCAGCTGTCTCCAGACTACGAGACTGGATTCTGAGTTTCTCTGGAGGACTTATTAGTTCTGTTTGGATTCTGGGAGCCTTTGGTGTGAATTTGCTCACCTCTAGTGCTTCTGGCACTTCTCCCTTGCTGCTTCCCTTGAGTTTGCATTAGCTGTTTGCTAAGCTTTGCATATTTTTGTCCTTCCTCTGTCAAAACAGTTCGTCGCTTGGAAGGCCTGATTTCTGCCTCTCATTGGGAATTTATATCTTGCTGTATTAAACTCTCTGCTTTGTCTTGTGCAGGTGTTGGCTTTTGGAAAGACGCATGGTGTGACTTTTAACATATTTCTCTTTTTATTTTTTTTTTAATATTATTATTCCGCTTATGTTGGCAGAGGTTTTAGCAGCTCTCTGCTTTGAAGGCTTCTTGTTTGGAACCGGTATTTGTAGTAAGTGGATCTGTTACTTGCAGAAATATTTATTTAAAATAGCAGATGTATATGGTTTTGCAGTTTAAATTGCAAGACAAGAGAGCCATGTATTTTCAAAATCATAGAATTATTGCACTGCCAAACTTATTTTGGTGTTTGTTTGTTGATTTATTTTTTTTCCCCAGGAAAAATTGCATTTTGTCAATTGGGACAGGAAAGTTAATATTAATGAATTTAAAATATCTTCACATATCTCCCTTGTAACTAAATATTTCTCTCAGTGTGGCTTTACTTAAATAGTGGAGATGGGATGAATTTCTACAGTAATAACTGTCTCAGCTCTCTTCATGTGAGCCCTGCAAGGCAGAAAAACAGGACCAAATTGGCTTAATATTTGGGAATCCTTCAGCAGAGCAGTGTGCATAAACTTATATGCAGAAGCAGTCCTGAACCCTCATACAATATCTAGCTGCATTCTGCAGTACAGCATTAACACTCTTCTCCCCAGGTGACATCTGTGATACAAAGGGTTCGCAAAGTGTCAGGGGACGCTCGTTTCTCTGGCTTCACTGTTCCCTCACTGTGCCGAGACCTTTTTAGGAAGCACAATGATGTGTCGTTATCTCTGCAAGCTAACAATCTACATGAGTACATTGATTGCTTGGAACAAATCTCTTCCCCCTCTAGGAACTGAAATCTAGTGAAGTTGTGTATCTGTTTGTTCTTTTGCAGCAGGCCTGGCCGGGGGGAACCCAGCAGATTCTGCTCCCTTCCACCTGGCAGCAGCTCCCAGGGGTTGCTCTGCACAACTCGGTCCAGCCGGCGGCGGTGATTCCGGAGACGATGGGCAGCAGCCAGCAGTTAGCTGACTGGAGGTAGGGGCTGCCCAGGGCCTGACCCTGCGGCGCGCGGGAGCACGTGCCACCGCAGCACGGCCTGCAGCACGCAGGGCTCCCCTCAGAACCTCGTGGGCTTGGTGCAGTTTGCTGCTCCTGCAGCACAGGCATGTGGTCTCCATCTCTGTATTTTTTTCTGCTCCAGGAATGCACATTCCCATGGGAATCAGTACAGCACTCTCATGCAGCAGCCGTCGCTACTGACCAACCATGTGACCTTAGCAACAGCGCAGCCTCTGAACGTTGGAGTTGCTCATGTTGTGAGGCAGCAGCAAAGCAGCAACATTCCAGCGAAGAAGAACAAGCAGCCAGCACCAAGCGCAGCCAAGTAAGGCTTCCTTTCCCAGTCCTCTGTTTGTGGAAGCTGTCTTTATGGTTTAAAAAAATGGCCTTCTGATCACAGAGGCATTGTCTGTTTAACTTTTTAATGTGCTACAGTTGCTTTTAAAGGTGTCTTGGAAGAAGCCTCTGTTACTGCAGTCACTGATATAAGTTACCTTAATTTCAGTGAAAGTGCAAGGAATGTGGCTGATCAAGTGCTTTACTGGTCAAGAGAGGGTTTTACATGTTCAGTGTGTGTTGGTGCCATAGCAGTACAAGTGACGGAACTGACATCTGTTGAACAAAAGGTGGCAGTTTTCTGGCAGTGTTCAGATGAGTCAGTCCTGTTCAGAGCATCACTGAATGTGTTGGTCCTGTCTGGGATGCATTCTATGGTGCTCTGCTGTATGAGAGTCTCCTGTATGAGGTTCTCTTTGTGTATTCCAAGACGAGTCTTCCTGTATGTGTGCTCCAGTCTGCTGGAGCCTGGCTGTTCTTAAAGCTGCTGCTGGTTTGTCCCAGCTTGCTGACACACAACTAAGTACTGCTTTGGTTTTCCTTCAGGCCCAGCTCAACTCTAGAGCCTGTGCCCTCCCAGGTTTACTCACTCATTGGGAGCAGTCCTCTGCGATCCACCTCCTCCTCTTCCAATGTACTCGTCCCAGTGCAGGAGCAGCACCAGCCCATTGTGATCCCAGACACTCCAAGCCCTCCTGTCAGTGTCATCACCATTCGCAGTGACACTGATGAGGAAGAGGACAGCAAGTACAAACCTGCCAGGTAGGAGGTTCATGTACGCTGACTTACCCTGAGCTCAGCCCAAGCATCTGGGAGAGTGGAGAGCTCTACATGCAAAGCCCTGGTTACTAGGCTAAGAAAGACTGTGTGAGACAGAAAACTCTGCATCATGTCTGCTGTGCTGTTGTGTCTCTGGTTAATCAGACTTCCATCCGACAAGGAGGGAGGGTATGAGATCCCAGAGGGATATCTCATTTATCTTGTGGGAAAAGCTGGAATGTTTCCCTTTTTTTGTTTGGTTTTGTTTTTTTCCCCTACAGTTTGAGTATGAAGCAGAGATCCAACGTCATCAGCTACGTTACTGTTAATGACTCCCCTGATTCGGACTCCTCCCTGAGCAGCCCCTATGCCACAGACCCACTTTCCTCTCTCAGGAGTACAGGCGGTGCCCTGGAGCTGCCGAGCAGAGGAGCCGCTGACAGCTCCAGCTCTCGGACTATCATTGTGCCCCCACTGAAAGCACAGCTCAATGACTGCATCGTAGCTACCCAAGCATCAGGTAGGTGTGATCTCGTGGCTTGTTGTGCTCAGTGTTGCCAAGGCCATGATGCTGTTTTATCCCCGCAGCCTTGCCCTCACAGTTTTGGAACTTTTGCATTGGGTCTTTAGCAGCTGTAGGTTTCACAGATGCTGTTCTGAGAATGCCAGTCTTGGCCTGTTTTCAGTTTCATTGCTAGATCTGCCCTTCATGTATGTTTGGCTGCGTATAGAAAGATCTGTAAAAATTCCCAATGATTTCTTGTACAATCAAAATTTAAATTGTAATTGAAGAAAAGGTTCTCATGGAAACAGTCCCTCTGCACTCTTTGCTTACGTAAAGCTGGTGATCAGAGTGCACGGCCTGTGAGAGGGAGGAACGGACTATGCTTTTGAAATCTTTCAGGCATCCTGAGCAGCACCAGTAAGACTAAACCAGTGGCCTCTGTGAGTGGGCAGTCAGCAGGATGCTGTATCACACCCAGTGGGTACCGCTCCCATCGCGTAGTAACGAACGGTGTGCAGCCTCTCAACCTCAGCCAGGTAAGTACTGTGTGACTGCTGCTGGCCGTGAACATGGTGCTGTACAGGACAGGATGACGTGCTTGCAAGAGGATTGATAGCTGCTGCCTCGTTAATTCTTTGAAGCTGATTCTGTCCTGTGGCTATGAAGGGTAGGGTGAACTCTGTGAGTAGTATAGGTAAAGTTTCTCAAGGCAAAGAATGTGTTCCTGCACTAGAGGACAGGAGAAGGAAGGAAGCATGGTTGTGTCCATATTCTTTCTTTGTGCACTGCATCACACCTGTCCTGTAGCGGGTCACTCTTGCCACTCAGGTGGGAGAACGACACCAGGATCCAGCTGTTGAATTTGAATAGCATTGAAGGCACTCCACAGTATGAGGAGATTCTTTTGTTCTTCACCTTCCTTCTCTAGATCTCATGAAGGCCCAACCAGGAGATCAAAGCTGGACCTGGTCTCTCAAACTAACAGTTAGTACCTGACTTTCCTTGAAACTCAGAGGTTGGTTTTGTTTCCGTTTGTGTCACTGCTCTTGATCTTTGAGTCAAGCTGCAGTAGCCTTTCAGAAGAAAGGAAGTGTTGGACCTCCAGTCCATTTCTGGCATCGGGACAAGACAGGCTTTGTTGTGCTAAAAGGGGGTGGCCCTGCTGCTGCTCCTGCTGAGGTGGAAGTGAATAGATGTGTGAGGAGTTTGAGGAATGGGTCAGTCTCAGGACCTGCCTGCACTTGTACCCCAGGTGTGGCAGTTTGATCACATTGCAGAGGACAAATGTAAACTTTGTCTCAGTGGAACTGCAGTAGCCTTTCTCAAACTGATATGAGATTTTCTCAGAGCTGGGAAGGGAGGATCTGCTGAAGTGTCAGTCCTGCAGCTGGAACAGAGGTGTTGATCAGGAGGCTCTGGCTGACCCTTCCTTGCTCACCTCCTGTCCACTGCACTTTGCCTGAGGATAGCCACTAACCTTATTTACTTCTTCTCCCTGCAGAACCAGCAAACAACAGTGCTGGCCTCACAGGAGAGAAGTGGAAATGCTGTCCCACGTAGGCAGCAAGCTTATGTGGCCCCCCGCACGTCAACTATTTCTCAGGCTCCCTACACGTTTCAGCACAGCAGCCCAGTGCATCCCCACCTGGCAGCGGCCTCGGCAAACACGCACCTCTCCAGCCAGCCGCACGTGTACACCTACGCCCCGACCTCGGCCGCCACGCTGGGCTCCACCTCCTCCCTCGCCCACCTCTTCTCCCCTCAGGGCTCCTCGCGGCACGCCGCCTACGCTGCCCACCCCAGCACGCTTGTCCACCAGGTCCCTGTGAGCGTTGGGCCCAGTCTCCTGACTTCTGCAAACGTTCCGCCTGCCCAGTACCAACACCAGTTTGCTCCCCAGTCCTATATTGGTGCTTCCAGAGGGTCTGCTATTTACACTGGATATCCGCTGAGCCCTACAAAGATCAACCAGTACTCGTACTTGTAGTTCTTAGTAAAGCACTGTCCTGCAGTAGGCCTGAGAGGTTGGAGAAGGATTTCAGGTGAACCTTTACCTGGTAATGGCTGCCTGGGTTTTGTTTCTCCCTGATCTGGTTGTATGTTGTTCAAAAATCTCTCTAGTGAGTTCAGTCACTAACTGAGCAGCATGCTTTATTACCAGTATGAGGGTCACTAATTAAGTTTTTAAAATTTTACTTACTTTTTATAGATGCTTTTAAAAAGTCCATGGTCACATTTATTTAAAATTGTTCTGTTGTGCTAATCAAAAGAGGAAAGAAAATCAGTGTCTTGGAAGACAGATCCTGATGACTTTTTTAACTTGTATAACTTAAAAAGGCTAGCAGATTATATTTTGGCGGTTTGCACAAATCCATGTTGCCACTAAAAATGTAATGCGCGTTTATCTCATTGTGTTGCTGAGGCAGTTTTAAAATCAAGTCTAACGTTTTAACATTTGTTCTCTAATTCACATTGTCTAACATTGCTGGCTCTGCAAAAACCTTTATGTCTCAGTATGTGCTACTGTCAAAAGTTTTTTGTTTACTCCTCCACTTTGTTCAAGGACTGGGAGGGGCACCTGCCCACTACCTAGCAGCATCATGTATTCAGGAGTCCACGTAAACCCTGAAATCTGCTTTGTTTTCTTGAAAATTGCATGTCTCCTTAACACAGCTGAATTTTTATCGTATTCTTTGCAGAATTCTTCTAAGTTTTTCAAACTGTATTCAAGATCTCACTGTGTCACAGAACTCAGCAGCTTTGTCAGGATGCTGTAGCCTTCAGTTGAGAACAAATAGTGCAGCATTGCTCTAGAATTTGGTTTCTGCAACTCATTAGATGCTGGCCCTGAAACGGAGCTGGATTCCTTCACAGAAGCACAGGGCTTTTCTTTGTTCTGTTTTTTCTTAATATTTTTTCTCACACGATTCATTTAGGAGGGAGTTGAATTTGAAATACAATGAAACATCACTGTATTGATGTGTACAGCTTTTTATACTCCTGTGAGCATATCCTCCAGGGTATGTCAACAGCTTCTTTAAAGCGCTCTTAATAAGACTTGTATACAGTACATGCATGTAGGAATCGGGGGGGTGGGGAGGGCAGGGCAGGGAAGAAAAAGAAAAAAGAAAAAAAAAAATCCAGATTTTAAAGTTTATTACTGAATTTAAAACTATTTTAGAAGTTTTGTATTGGTGGTGTTTTAATATTTTACATAAAATGAAATATGTACATATTGATTAGAAAAATATAACAAGCGAAACTTCCTGCTAACCCCAAATGTTCTGTCTTTGTAATCAAAATGTGTAGTGATTATACTTGAAATCTGTACTTAGTGTTTGTCTAATTCCTAAACGTTCCTGGGGATGGAGTCGATGTATCCTTTGTATTTAAACCAAAATGAGTTGGTTCGTGTCGGAATGTATGTGATATAATGCAATGGTTAGAGCTCATCACTGTAGCACTGGGAGGCGTAGAGCGTCGCGAGAGGAAAGGATACCTTCTGATTTGTTTTGCACAGGTATGTGTGATGAAGAGTTGTTTGGTGTGTCCCCTTATTGTAGTGCCTTAAATGATGACGTAGTGTGACTAGAGTTTACAGTGAGCTTGCCTTATGAGGGACCAGCAAGCCCCCGTCGATTGAAGCAATTCATGAAGCTTATCACAGCGAGGACAGCGTGTTGCATAGGTGTTGTTCTCAGTTTTAATGCTATCACAAAAAGCTACATTTTTGTTCGGAGTGAAGCGATGTTTCCTTAAAGCTTTTCCTTGAAATGGCACATGTACTGTTAGATGTCTGTCAGTGCATTTCGGATAAGGTAGTGCTGGGAATGCATTGGAATGTTTAGTCTAATACTGCAGAAGTGATTAAATATGTGCAATCACTTTTTATTAGATAGTACAGCATTACCTTCCCCCACGTCGATAGCAGACATTTCTTGTAAAATATTGCTAGCTTGGTCATAGAATATTTATACCAAAGAGAGCCTGCTGTAAAGCACATAATACCATTAAAAAGTTTTGTAATGCTACTGCTAATGTGGGATTGTTGGGAAGGTCTGTCAGCTGTAGCCCTAGTTAGTGTTCAGAGGAAATACTCATTTTGGATAATTGCTGTAGGTTTTAAGGTACAACACTTGGTTTTCTTGGGTCCGTTGTATCAGGAATTATTTCTCATCTTCAGTACATAGATTAAGTATCTTGTCCAAATGGATGATAAGCTGGCTTCGGTGGTCATATTACTGCAGCAATAAGAGGTTTTGGTAGCATTGAATCCCAGTTTTCTGTTCTGTCCCAGCGGAGGAGAGGCCTGTTCTCTGACGGTCTGTGACAGGAAGCGCAAAAGTAATTTCTGAAATTCCACATTATTGCCGGAAGAAGGTCTGGACTGACCTGAAGTTGGTGAGCTGTTAAAGGTTTGGTGTCTCTTTCGACAGAGGGATCGAGGACTCTGGAGCTGGTCCATAGCATTAGTGACGTTGTTGTCCCGTGTGTTTGTAGTCGGAGCACTTCTGCAGGTGTGCGGATAGCCAGCCGGCCGTGCTCTGCTGTACCTCTGGTGTCAGGAGATGCTGTGCGCTGCTGTGGGCACTTCTCCTTCTGTATGACATTGCTGTGTTCAGTACTTGCCTTGAGACACACCTTGGGTACAAAGTTGTGCCTTTCTAGCGAAAGGCAAAAAAATTCAGTTCCTGTGTTTTAGGGGAACATTTATCCCCATTGCACAAGTAGTAAAATTGTTCTCCGTGAAGTCCTAACAGGAAAGAAAGACCCCTAGCAAAATCTGCTAATGATTTTGAGAATTTTCCCCCTTCCCCCAGAAAAAGCGGATTTGAATGACTATCCTTAGAGTCCCTGTTACGTAATTAAACCAAATCAAATGTACTCACAAAGCATGGTGTCATCCCCTCCGCCGCCCAGATGGAAAACGCTGGGACAAGGTGGGCGAGATGGAAATGATGTAGGCGAAGTGGAGCGTACTGTAATTGAAACAAGTTGTCAGTGACCTGGAGTTCCTCTGTGATACGCAGAACAAACCAAGCAAGCAAAAACCCGCCCCAGCAGGGCCAGAGTGCCACCTTGGTGCTGGCCTCACCAGTGGGCAGATCCCAGTCTGGCCCCAGTTATGTGTTGCCCAATTTAAATATCTCGTATTTGGTTCTGAGGAGGTACGTCCTTTCTTCCCTTGCATATCCAGCCTTCTGGTTAGGTTACAGCATGGACTCTCCTCACTGTGAGAGCCACTGCATCTACTTTGTAAAGAAATGTGCTGTCTATGGCTAGAAACTGGAGTCCTTTAATTTTTTTTTTAAAGCTGGTTTGGGTTTCGCCTTTTGAACATTAGGTAACCACGGTCCCATCTAGACTTCTCTGTGTGATTCCTGAGCTGTTAAATCAGTTGTTCCCATTACCTGGCCTTTATTCACAGCCATGAGGGCCACCGCAGAGGCAACTCCTGAGGTTTTCCTGCTTAGCACCTAGCTGATGGGATGCAGTAATTTACCTCTGACTCGGCAATTTCTTTTAGCACATGAAACTAAATTGCTTCTAAATGACAGGATTGGCACAGCCCTGCTTTCTTTTTTATTTAAACTTCTGAATGGTGCCGCATGTCCACATGGTTGTTTGTTGCTAAACTTTATATAATGTGTGGTTTCAGATTCAGCTTGAAATATATCTATCTCACTACATGTAGCAGTACATTATATGTAATGTTAGTATTTCTGCTTGGATCCTTGATATTGCAATGGAATTCCTACTTTATTAAATGTATTTGATATGCTAGTTACTGTGTAAAATTTAACTTTCTTTTATGGTTGTGCTCTTCCTTTTTACAAGCCGCTAGATACAGGTAGTTTCTGACAATTACTGATCTATGTTTGTATTGCTGATGTACTTAGGGGGTATGTAAAAATCATTTTAACAAAAGACATAGATATTTAAAAATTTAATACTAACTATATGGGAGAAGGGTCCATTGTGAAAACATAGTTTATCTTTGGATTCAATGTTTGTCTTTGGTTTTACAAAGTAGCTTGTATTTTAAGTATTTTCTACATAATATGGTAAAAATGTAGAACAATTGCAATGCATCAATAAAAAGGGTTAATTTTCTGTACTCTACTCATTTGGCCACTTGTTCTGTTAAAGGCGGCAGAAGAGGAGGCTGGGTATGCCTATCCTAGATCAGCACTGACCGTTGCGTGCTGCCGACAGCGCCGTGCAGCTTGCAGGATCGGGGCAGGGGCAGGTGGGGTCCTGAGCGAGGTCCTCGGTCAACTGCCCCAAATGCACCCGCGGGCCGCGTTGGGAGGGTGTCGGTGACAGCGTAGCTCTCCCCGCTGCTGGGGGATGTTTGGCTGGTACCCCGGTTGTACATCTGTGAGCAGCGGCCTCATCGGAGAGGCGGCGGCGAAGTGCCGGGGCCG